AACCCCTGAGCGTGATTTAGTGAATAGGTAAAAACAACACACTATTTTTTTATATTGAGGTTTTACTTAATCAATGTGCTTATTCAGATTCAAAAATATTGCAAGAATCTCAGAATTTGTAAACGTATTTAAAGTAGTACGAAAAACATATAGATGCAGTGGGAACGACTTCAAAGAACTCAAAATGATGTACTGGGAAGGAAACTCCAAAGGTTGATTTATTGATTTGAATGGAACCGTTTCACTCAGAACTCAGATGATCCACACAGCAGTAGTGGTGGCTGCAGCAGCAGGTGACATTTAGTCTGAAACCTTCTCTTTCACGTCTACTCCCTAGCCTGCTTAATACAAGCGTTTGAAATGACCAAGGTCATAACATGGTTTGATAGGATTTGCTTAAGTAATTTTTCTCTTTGTTCTATTTATTTATTTATTTATTTATTTATTTATTTATTTATTTATTTATTTATTGTGTGTGGCAGGGTTTCTTCGTGTAAGCCTGGCTGTACTGGAACTCACCGTGTAGATCAGGCTGGTTTCTGCCTTTGCCTCATCACACCCGGCTTCTCAAGGAATTTGTATTTCTATTTCTTTGCATTGATGTGTGTATACACAGGAAGATTCAGGGCATGGCATATCTGCGCAACAATATCACTTGTGGAATTGGGTTCTCGCCTTCTACCATGGGGGTTCCAGGGATTGAACTCAGGTCTCCAGGGTGGTAGCAAGCGCTTTTACCTCAATGAGCTGCCTTATTGTGACCTTCAAAACTTCCTATGCATTCTGGACTATTTGTTTTTTTTTTTTTTTAAAGATTTTTTTTTTTAATATTTATTTATTTATTTATTTATTTATTTATTATACAATGTTCTGTCTGTATGCCTACAGGCCAGAAGAGGGCGCCAGACCTCATTACAGATGGTTGTGAGCCACCATGTGGTTGCTGGGAATTGAACTCAGGACCTTTGGAAGAGCAGGCAATGCTCTTAACCACTGAGCCATCTCTCCAGCCCCTCTGGACTATTTGTATGATTAATGAAACTAGTGCTGAATGAGTCATAAACTTTAGAGGACTTCATAAATCATCATAGTTGAGACCTCAGTTTGATATATCACATACTAAGACTCTAAAGTCTTTATCCATTATTGCTTATTTCTATTTATTTATTTATTTGGTTCTTCGAGACACAGTTTCTCTGTAGCTTTGGAGTCTGTCCTGGAACTAGCTCTTGTAGATCAGGCTGGTCTCAAACTCAACAGAGATCTGCTCTGCCTACTGAGTGCTGGAATTAAAGGTGTGCGAAACCACTCCCGGCACTTGTTTAATTTTTGAATTCAGATTTCTAATAGCAAATTACCTGATTTCTTGTCCCTGCTGTATTGTATAGGTAGGCCACCTCTGTACTTTGTGTACTTTTACTTAATTTAATAGATTAATGTCCCCAAACAATTACTTTATCACATTATTTTGGTAACCAGGAATTTTGTCAGACACACTGGTCTTAGTTCTTCACTTTCTTCTTTTACCATTTTTACATCCACAAGGGCTGATCAATCATTTCCTTTTCTGAGGAGTTACCCTGTTTTAGCCCTTTAGGTAGAAGGTGGTACCACGAGGGAAGAGGCTACACCATGAACGTTCTTCTTTCTCAAGGCGCTCACAGTTACAGATCAGCAATTGGCACGAGAAACGGCAGGATGGAAAGACACAACACACAGGCAAAAAGCAAGAAGCCCTGGGAAGATCAGAATGGCAGCTCAGAGACAGGCGTGGACTTGTCGCAAAGGAAGAAGGAATTACATTCAAAGGGGCTCTAAATGACTGGCGACAATGTAAGAACTGCTGAAGCAATGGTTTTACATGGGGTATGGGAAGATAGGTGTGGAAGGAAGGCAGAGACTATGCCAAGCAGGTCTTGTTCTCAGAGTTTAGGCTCAATTTGAGACCCATGGCAAACCACTGATGTTATAAGTAGGAAACGTGATCATTAAAAAAACCATGTGTGCCAGGTGGTGGTGGCACATGCCTTTAATCTCAGCACTTGGGAGGCAAAGGCAGCTGGATCTCTGTGAGCTCCAGTTTGAGGCCAGGCTGGTCTACAGAGTGAGTTCCAGGACAGCCAGGGCTAAACAGGGAAACCCTGTCTCAAAGAACCAAATAAATGAATGAATGAACAGTGTGTGATCGGGACAGTCAACACCAAAATATGGGCTAGCATTCTTCTGGGTATTAGGGATTTATGCCCTTTCTTGTTGATTTTACTCTAGCTCAGAAGCTCAGAATGAATAGCAGATAAACACTAGTGGACACCCTCATAACCACACAATCGGTAGGTTGCACTAAAACTGTTGACTCTTTTACTGGCCTGATTTCCTCTTGAACTAATTTACTGAAGATAGGTAGAGGGATTATTTTTTGTTGTTCCACAAGGCCTGGCTTGGGTCCTTCTGGGTAAATAGTAGACACTAAGTTTGTTCAAAGCATGAATTAATTTGCTTATACAATTACATGGTTCTTTTACATTTTAAACGAGAAGGTATTAAAAACTATTGAGTCTCATTTAGACAAAGTAGTCTAAAGTATTTACTGTACACCTAGATAATAAGTTGCTTTTCCTAGAAAAAGTGTCTGAAAACAATATGAGCCTACTTTGGAAAAAATACTTATGGAAAAGTATGGGACTATGTTGTCAGGAATTGTTCATGGTGGTAATTTTTACCATAAAGTTCTCTTTGAGATAGTCTCTCTTTATTGTGAGGTCAGCTGTGGAACTCCAGATGTTTCTGCCTCAGCCTCCTCAGAGCTGAGATTGTGGGCAAGCACCGTCATATCTAGCAATAATAGATGTTTCTAAATTTTAAGAACAGTAATCCAAAATACATGAGCACAAATATCAGTGGCACATATATGAATACATATTTAACATTAGCTAAAAAGATAATTTCTTCAGATTCCTAGGAGACATTGGGATTCTCCATGATCCTCCATACGAATTGGGTTGCCATTTTGGCATCTATTTCCTAAGTTAAATTTTAAAATTTTTTACAACTCTGAGGTTTTGGACATATACTGATAATTCACACTATTCAGACAAGCAGACTAGTTTTATTTATTTATTTATCACCCCCCCTCCCCCCGCCCAAGGGCTTCACAGTCCTGGCTGTCCTAGAACTCTCTCTGTATACCAGGCTGGCCTCTAACTCATAAAGATCCACCTGCCTCTTTCTCCTCAGTGTTGGGATTAAAGGCGTGCGCCACCACCACCACCAGACCAGACAACTTCCACTTACTCTAGAATACCTGAAAATACCTTTTCATCTTGCAATAGTAATGTGCTTTATGGCATAATGACCTTAACTTTTGACTGTATAGTTTAATAATTTGCAAAGATATGTCCTTAAAAGTTTACAGTGTTACTGGTTCTTTCCATAAAATACCACAGTGGTTTCCAAATGAAGCTCTGTAATGGGAGGGAGAGATAAAAAAAAAAAAAATGAGCCGGGCGGTGGTGGCGCACGCCTTTAATCCCAGCACTTGGGAGGCAGAGGCAGGCGGATCTCTGTGAGTTCGAGGCCAGCTTGGTCTACAAGAGCTAGTTTCAGGACAGGCACCAAAGCTACAGAGAAACCTTGTCTCAAAAAACCAAAAAAAAAAAAAAATGAGTAAATACTTTTAAAGTATCTTAAAACCTGACATTACAACAATGTATTTATTATCATTTATTCCGGAATAGTTACATTCTTCCCCCTTGCTGAATTTCTATTATTTTAGTTTTAATAAATAGTTTTTTACAGTGGGGAAATGGGGCATACATACATACATACATATACGTATATATATACATACATACACACACACTTGTGTAATGTCTAAGTAAGGAAAAAGTACATCGCTACGTGTGATTGTTACATTTCGAGTACTCGATGATTAAGGCTTATTCCACAATGTTACAAGCCAGAAAGCGACTTGTCAGCCAGCCTTTGTAATTCAGCGGCGTGTCCAAGGCATTCACAACAACAAACCCCGTTCAGTAAAAAGGTCACTCGGGTACCATCAAGACACGGGGCTTTCACGGGGTTCAGCGACTAGAGACATCAAAATCCGCCTCTGCCCACGTGGGATTCGGCGGGCTGTCCCTTCTCTCGGTGGACACCCTCCTGCAAGAGAACCCTGCAGGACCCGGGCTTTTTCCCACTGCTAGTCTGGTCAACCGGGGAAGTGTCGTGTGCAGGCAGAGGCCCGAGCGGATGACCTTGAGTGCAGAGTGCCACGTAGGTCAGCCCTAGCAACTGTACACCGCCGCTCGTCCCGGGGCCTCGGGGCTGGCTACACCGCGGGGCCGACTTTCGGTCCGTTCTCCCGTCCACCCCGAAGCGCACCGGCTGGGTCGAAGGGAGCAGTGCCTCCGAGCACCAACCCTCTCAAGATGGCGACAGCGCCTGGCCTGACTTCCCCGGTCCCCGCGCCGCCGGCCCAGGCGCAGGAGAGCGAGCGGCGACAGGGGCGGGGCCGAGCGCTCCCTGCCTCCCACGCACGCGCGCCCGCCCGCCTCTCTTCTCTTCTCCTCTCCTCTCGGAGCCCTCGCCCCGCCGGGCGGCGCGCGCAGCCTGCCGGGATATTCGTCCCGCCCACCCGGTCCTCCCGTCCCGTGCCGCCTTTCGCGAGATCCGCGACTCTCTGCCCCTCACACCTCCCCTCAAGATGGTGGCGCTCCTCTCCGGGTGACTCTCTCTCCGCGACGGCCGGGCCTTTCGTCTCCGCCAGCCCCTCCTGCGCTCTCCCTCCCTCCCGCCCGCCCGCTCGCTCGCTCGCTCATTCGCGCACTCGGCCGCCTCCACGCCTCGCCTCTTGTCTACCTGGCGCGGACGGTGGCGCCTCCTTCCGCTTCTCCGCGGCGTTGCTCGACTCGCTCGCACCCCGCCGTGGCCAGACCGCGGCAGCAGCCGAGCGGCGGCAGCGGCGACGACGACGACTCCGACGTTGCCCAAAGCGCCGGTTTCCTGAGGAGAAGCGCGGGTCCCGCATGAGCCCCGGCGGTGGCGCCAGCGAAAGGGAACGAGGCGGTGGCGGGCGACGGCGGCGGACCAGGGCGACCGGGACCAGAGCCCAGGCGCGGGGGCGAGGACAGGTCAGTGCTGCCGCGGTCGCGGCCTGCCCCTGCCCGGCGCGCTTCCCTCCCGCCGGTGCCCTGGTACTTCTCCGGGCCGCGCGGGAGGGCGGACGGGCAGGGTCGGCGCCCGGGCTCTCACCCGCCTCGGGGAGCGGGGAGCGAGAGCCGGGGGCGCGTGGTCTGGAGGGGCCGGTGCCAGGAGTAGGCCCTGGTGGCTGTGGCTGCTGCAGCCTTAACTGTCAGTGCTGGCTGAGCGCAGCAGGGAGGGTTTTGTCGTCCGCGGGTACCCGAGTGGGCCCCGGGGTGGGGCGGACGTGCAGGGGCCTGGAGCTCGAAGCCTCCTCGGAGAGCCGAGCGGCGGCTTCGGGCAGCGGAGGGGCAGGCCTTTTCCTCCAAAGGGGCGCTCGGGGTGGGAAGACATCTTTAGACGTGTAGCTTGCTCAGTGGGCTGGGGGATTGGGGGTGGGTTGGGAAGGGCAGACGGAGGAAGCAGCACATCCAGACATCGAGGATCGCGCTCTCGGCTTCTCCGTGTGCTGCCGCCGCCGCCGCCGCCGCCGCTTCCGAGAGGATCCAGTAGTTGAACGTGAGTTACTGGATTCCTCAGAAACTGCTGTGTTAGATGGAAATGCAAACCTGTAAGCAGTGGCCTCCTCCTCCTCCCCCTCCCCCTTTTCAGTTGAGAAAAATGAAAGGGACGTTTTCCCCCCTTTTCGATGAGGAGGCTTTTTGTTGGAAGGGTCAGAATTGAGTGTGCCAAGTGCTTGAGCCCTAAGAATAGAAAATATAATATTAATACCACTTTTCAGATTTAGAATAATCCTCGAAAGGCAATTTTATGTCTTTTTTTTTTTAATGGCTTAGGAGCATGCCAAAGTAGAACAGTACAAATTTCTTTGGGATTGTATTAACTAGCTAGTGTGCTGTTGCAATTGTAAACTAAATAGTAAATGTGATGTATGATCCACGATGATCTTCAATGCCGAAGGACTGTGGGTATAACCCATGCTTTTGGGAGAAGCAGCAGATTATGTCAGGATATTTTGGAGAGGAAAGTGCGTTTGAAATGAAGATGACCTAAAGTTTAAGAAATACGGCTCCTAAAAAGCGACATACCAAAGACGTGTCGCTACCTAGTAAATTTTGTTGAATTAATGGGCAGAGTGACAGGAGAAGTGTTTTCCTCCCACCTCAGATTAGTGACTGCTCTTAAGATACCTGTGGCAAATCAAGTAAATTTAGAATTTAGGAGAGAGAATAAGAAAAAAAATTGTTTTGGTATGAAAAAAGAAAAATTTTGCTTGTATGATAGTCTCCATTTGGTACTAGAGTCTCCATTTAAAACAAATCTGCTTAATGCATTTCCAAGGAAACGAATAACCACATCTATATTGCTGCTAAACTTGAAGTAAAGATGACTGTAAATCCTTAAATACTTAGCATTACAGAAAAAAAACATTCATCAAAGTTTATAACAAAAATGAGAGCTTCAACAAATAATATGACATCTATATTTCTTTAATAAGAAAAAGATACCGTACATAATAAAAAGAGATGACTTGTAGCTTTGGTTTCAAAATCAGAATGTGAGCTATGAAGACGTGTCAATATTTAACTTGCATTGCTGTGTGGAGTAGTATACACAGACTCCTTTGGACCTTGCCCCCACACCAGAGGAGTTTAAATTTATGGAGTTAGAGAAGCCCTTTTGCATGCAGATTTAGTAGGTGACTTTTGTTTTTATCCCTGAAATCACTCCCCCCACACACCTTTTTAAAAATTTTTATTATTGTTGTTTTCTTTTGGGGGGGGGGCAAGGTTTTATGGTGTAGCTCTGGATGACCTGGAACTCTCCTCCTCATTCTGTCTCCAGGGTGCCGGGATTAAAAGATGTACGCAACAGGACTGGCTCCCGTTCTGTTTCATGGCTTTCCATGTCATTTCTGCCGAGACTAATACTCATTCCACCTGCTTAGTTCTTTTAACAGCATTCATTGGCTTTCTCTAGTGTCTCTGACATGTTACATTAAAGACAATTGTGTTTTTTAAACATGTGTGTCAATCTCTATCTTCTGTCAAATAATTGCTGTAATAATTGTTTCTCTCAATTTTTATGAATATTGTTCTCTAAATTGGCCATAGCTAATTTTTTCTGCTCAAGAGTTGAAAATGATTTTTGTAAATGTCCTTTAAAAAACTTAAATGTTTACTGGTATATTTTTATCATATTTTCTATTTAGGTTTATATTGTTGTTAATGAGCATCACTGGTAAATGGATACATATTTGTATTAAGTGTGTAAACAGCTATTAAAAACATCAGTGCTCTGATGTTAGAAAGCGGGGATGAGTTTTCAAAAGTGATTTTTTTTTTTTTTTTTCCCCCTCTGAGACAGGGTTTCTCTGTAGCTTTGGGGCCTGTCCTGGAATTAGCTAGCTCTTGTAAACCAGGCGGGTCTCGAAGTTTTAAGTACTTTCAAGTGCAAAAAGTCTAAGACAGAGGGTCATATAAAAATAGTCTTTAAAGAGTCTTTTTCTCTTCATAAGCATTTAGGATAATAGAGCTTTGGATGGTTTTGACAGTTTTTTTCCTCACTAATAAATATAAAGACAATGTTAAGCCAGGCATGGTGTCTGATGTCTGTAAACCCAACAATTGAGAGGCTGAGGCAGGACTGTGGCAAGGTCAATTGTGGCTAGCTTGGGCTAGAGGTGAGAGCATATCTCAAAAAAAAGTGATTAGAGATGTAATAAAATATGGAATGAAAAAAGCTTTGTGTTTTTCTTTCTTTCTTTTCTTTCTTTCAAGACAGGATTTCTTTGTGTAGCCCTGGTTGTCCTGGAACTAGGTCTGTTGACTAGACTGGTTTTGAACTCACAGAGATCCCTTTCCTCTGCCTCTGGGATAAAAGCTCCGTGCCACCATCACCCAGCCTCCAAATAGCTTTGTAATTAGAGCTTGATTTCCTTTTTGCTGAGCCATCGTTTTGTCTATAAACCGGATGGTGAAGGTGTCCCAGATGTCAGGATTAAAGACTGTACAGGGCCTACACTAGTTAGGCTTTCAATTTTTCCTTAGAAGACTTCATAGCCAGTTTTTCTGAATGATCTTTAAGTACATTGTGTACAGTAGTCTATAGTCCATTATTCTACTACTTGTTTTCTTTCTCATTGTGAGCTCAGTGCAAGGATTTCTATTGTTTAATCAGAGAGTATCTTTCCAGATCCTTAAGCCTGTTCAGCCTGCTATATTGTCAAACACTGGGTAGTTTACATAAAGAAAAAGACACCTGCCCCCCACACCTTAAATAGAAATGTATCTCGTAGTTATGGACACTGAGAAAGACTAAGATCAAAGCTGATTTTCATTGAAGACTCGAGTACTGTTAGTTGGATTTATTGAGCTGGACTAGGGGTTGAATTTAGGGCCTCTCACATGTGAGCCACCTACTTTACCGCTTCCTTGTACCCAGGTCTGTTAGACTGGCCTTAGACTCACTCTAGCCCAGGAAGACCTTGAGCTTCCACAGTATCTAGATTGCAGACTTAATACCATCATGTTTGGGTTGGATTGTGTCTCTGTTTTTCTGTCTTTCTCTATTGTTTTTTCTTTGAGATTTTATGAGACTTTTGCCTGCTTTTATGACTGCAGCATAATTGTGTGGTGCCTGTGGAGGGCAGAAGAGAGTGTTGGGTCTGCCGTGATTGGGATTACTGACAGATGCCATGAGGACTCTGGAAACTGAACCTAGGTTCTCTGGAAGAACAGCAGGTCCTCCTAACTGCTGAGCCTTCTCTTCCATATCCTCTTTCCTCCCCTCCTACCCTTCACTTTTTTCTTGTGACAGGGTCTCACTAACCTTTGAAACTAGCTATAGAAGCTAACCTGCCCTCCAGCTCAGAGGACCCCTTCCCTCTGCCTTCCCAGTGCTAAGGACACTGTTCTCATTCATTAAGGCAGATCCTACTAAAGCCTCACCTTATTATATTGTCACCTCAGCTTTTAGGTTTCTAGAGAAGTTTTAGGGGGATGTAAACATCAAGATCATATTGTGGAAGATGTTTGAAGTAGTTATCAGTATATTTACAAATGGTCAGCTAACATTTCTGAATATCCTTTGAATACTATGAACTGGCCTGGGTTGTACAGGTTAAGAAAACAAGAACTTGTCTTAACAATTGGAAACTGATAGTTTAGTCATTTATTATACATAACACCATTTTTTAAAAATGTAGTATCTTGTCATGTTATGGGGCTTACTTCTCTCTGTCCTGTCAGCCTTAGGGCAGTTCTGTAGACTTAGCATCCGTTCCCCCCTTAGCTGTAATTGTAAAGACTTATATTTGTACTTTTTTTGGGGGTGGGGTGGGGATACAATCCAAGAACCTGTGTTCATGTTTTAGATCCAGCTCATCATTCAGTAGCTGATTTCTAGCATACATAAATGTATGGTGTATAGAAAATAAATAGATTGACTCTGGCCTTGACCTGTTGGTGCTGGCTTTTTGGACAGTGCTTTCCATTTAGTTCCTGACACAGGAGTCACAAATGTTACAGACCTGAATAGTCCTCCACCTGAGAGCAGCTACTCTTTTCATTTTTGTTTTTAACACGAGGAAATCAAAGAGCTAAGGTTTAAAATGGTTTTTTTTTTTTTTTTAAAATTCATCTAGGGCCAGAATCAGTTTTGAGTCTCTGGCTTCCAAGTCAGGATTCTACATTATTGGCGTTCTGTCCTATGTGTTCAAAAGAATAGTTACAATTACTTTGTAATTGCCCACACACTTTTATGGAGGTGTGTATTTTCCATACTATTGATAAAAGGTAACCTTTAGAAGATGCCACAGCCAGGGCTTTTATTCTTTGTAATAAAGATGTGAAATAAAATTGTATTAAATAGAAGTTTTTTTTCCCCAAACATGAGGTGTTTGAAATACTGAAGTTGCTTTATTCCTTCTTAACAAAGTGACTTATTGATAAATACGCATCAAATTTCTTTTCATGTTTTCATTTAATTT